TGTACATTATTGTGTGAAAAATAATCGACAAAAGTGTGTTGATTTTCTTTTTAAAATAATTAATTAAATTAATTAACACCACATATTTTTTTCATCTCTAATCTATTTGGACTAACTCAAATACCAGTTTTCTTTCTTAAGAAAATCAATGACAACCCAATGAAGTATATCGAGTTTCAACATTTTATTATAGTGTTATTAATTAGCAATGAATATGAGTGTTTTTTTTACTCCTATTTAGTTGAAGAAAAAATTAGAAAGCTGGTATTTGAGTTAGTCCAAATAGATTAGATATGAAAAAAATGTGGTGTTATTTGTTCGTTAGGTTGTCATTGATTTTCTTAAGAAAGAAAATTGACACACTTTCGTAGGTTATTTTTCACGCAAATATATAGAGAGACTCTCAAAAGGAATTGTTATTTTTTTTAAAAAAATAATCAATGATCATCCGTCAATTTGAATTTTTTACAATAACTAACGGATGAACAACGATTTTTAAAATGCAAAATTGCAGTTGAAGAGCATATATAGAAATAAAGAAATCATAAAATTAGTATTTTGTGTTTAAATGGTACATAAAAAAATAGAGTTGAAGGGTTAATCTTTTACTCCCTCCGTCCCATTTTACATGATGTAGTTTGACTCGGCACGAAGTTTAAGAAAGAAAGGAAGACTTTTAAAACTTGTGGTCCAAAATGAATGATAGAAATTTGTGTGTACTATAAATCATTTCACTAGGGGTAAAATAGACATTTTATAGTTAAATTGTTACTAAATATAGAAATGTGTAATTCTTTTTGGGACTGACTAAAAATGAAAGTAAGTCACATAAATTGGGACAGAGGGAGTATTACTTTTTTAAAAAATACTTTTTTTTTGTATTTCAATCTCTTAGAGAAAGTGTGATCAGAGGCGGAGCCAGGATTTCATGTCAGTGGGTTCTAAATTTTTAAAAAGATCAACGATCTTAACCTAAAGTAACAATCATCAAATTAACGAACAAATACAAGTATCTAATTCACTAAAAACGACGAAATACTTAAACATTATATATATATAAGCATTTTAATTACAATTGCACTCGACGAGTTGTCATATTTTGAAAACGATCAATGATCACATCATTAGGTACACTTTCAAATAATTCATCTTCTATATAACAAACTAAACAATCATTTAAAAAGTCATCGTCCATTCTGCTTCACAAGTCATTTTTAATGAAAGATAAATATTTTTTAAAATTAAAATTTTGAACATTTTTAGTATAATCTTCAATATTGTTCTAAGTGAGATTAAAATTATTAAATTCAACATTAATATTTTGGCACTTAAAACAAATATTTTACTAGTTTCACTATCATCTTGAACCATTAACGCCGTCAAAAGTTAAAATTTTAAAAAGCAAACAATAAATAATTTAATATAATCAATTATCAATATGTTGGATAACCCTAGAATCAAAGATTAAAAATCAATTTTTGAATAACTAATTGTACAATGTCAAAGCAAACATATAAGGAAAAAAAAAGGGAGAGGCAAGAGTACACACCGGAGACCAGATGTTGGATAGTAGCAATTAGATCAACAATAAAAGTTAGAACCCTAACTTTTGAAAAAAAAATGAGTTAAAGTTTTTGAATGTGAGTAGAAATCAATAGTCAGATATTGTAGTTTTAGAGTACGATACAAATACTATTTTTTTTTTCATTTAACAATTATTTTTTTAATTATCCAAAAAGACTGGGGCTACCGGGATTCGAACAGACATCCCACGCGAACGAACGATTTCGCTGGGTGCGCAATGACCACTGGGCCAAACGCCTCAGTGTTATTATGGGTTTACAGGAAATATATATACATTTTACTTCAGAATTTAATATAAATATAGGGTCTATGGAAAAACCAGTGAGTTCGGCCGAACCCCCATCGGCTACTGTAGCTCCGCCCCTGAGTGTGATGCACACACTCTGCCACATCACTTAGAAATGTCAAAATGAAACATAAAAATTGGAGTTAAAGAATTAAAATGGAATAAAGTTTAGTTGAAGTGCCAAAATGAAATTTAGAAAAAAGTTTAAAGATCTGCACATGTGTTTGACCAAACAATGGAGAGATCATCTAGACATTTAATTTATACATTTATGCATGCCGCTAGACTAGAAAATTACTCCCTCCGTCCCATTTTATGTGAGGTAGTTTGACTCGACACGAAATTTAAGAAAAAAATGAAGACTTTTAAAACTTGTGGTCCAAAATGAATGATAGAAATTTGTGTGACTGTAAATCATTTCATTAAAGGTAAAATAGATATTTTATAGTTAAATTGTTACTTAATATAAAAATGTGTCATTCTTTTTTGGACTGACAAAAAAGGAAAGTAAGGCACATAAATTGGGACAGAGGGAGTAATACTGATGCCTTACCGTAAGAAGTAAAACTCTCAATCTGAGCCGTCCATCTGTTGATCAAATGGTACACTGTACTGTTTATCAGTCCTCATTTTCTTCCTTCACTGTTAGAGTGCCCTTCCCCGTGGAGCTTTCTCTGAAACAATGACTTCATCCTTCTCCATTTGATGATCAACTAAAATTGTTTGATGCTGCTAAAAAGTTGTGAGCGTTTTGCAGTTTTGGAGGTGCAATGATTACTGATAGTTATTCAAACGTCGGAATGCTACAAGGAACCAACGAATTTAGGAGGCAGCAACAGGAGATTGATCGAGAGAGAGTGCTTAGCATGTTCCCAACTGATTCTACTTCGCCCACAGTTGAAGGATCACTTAGCACTTTCAGTTGCATTGCTTCTGATTTTGGTTGTCTTTCAGAAGAGGAATTGAGGTCTGATTCAGCCTACATTGCTTACTACTACTCCAACGTCAACCTTAACCCTCGCCTTCTGCCCCGTCTTCAGCGTCTGCAAGGTGCCGGAGCTACTAATGCTGTGGCATTAGGGGGTATTGGAGATAACAGGAAATTTAATCAAGATGACAAGGGAGCGGATCATAAATCACTTTTTTCGATGCAGTTAGGAGTTGATGTTGAAGATGGAGATATTGGAACTGAGGACGAGAAGGAATGGGGTCGAGATGGACTTATTGGGTTACGTGGGCTTGGATTAGGAACCCAGCAGAAGATTGTTGATGAGATGATTCAGGTGCAAGAGAAATGGAAAATACAATAAGATGTTTGAAGTATTGGTTTGGTTTGTTAGCTTTACGTTTCTAATCAATTTGTTATCTAATTTGTTGTGCCTGTTTAGTAACTTTGAAATGTTATTCCTGTTTATAGAGGTTGTTGAATGCTTTCTGTTAATATCCCTTTCTGCATATGGAAGACGATTCTTTGATATTGTAGTAACATGCTTGTTATGTCTGCATTTTTGGATATTGCTTGTCCGTAATTTTACTATTTGTAATCATGTATTGGCTTGGTTTTCCCCTTCGGAATTGTTACTTCTTTAACTATATATATGTCATAATTGCTTTTTTCAAAGCTTTTCCTTGATTGTCAAAGTGTGTTCATTAGTATTTTATAATGTGTGAAGTTTTTCCACCCGTGCGTTTTGGATACCTTGGACTCAAAAGGAGAAAAGGAAAAAGAAGGTATATATAGTTAAAACGTTCACTCTTGGATTTTATCCACTCAAAAGTTGGTGGTCCGAGGATCAAGCGCATGTCGGTTAATTGCTGTTGTGAATTGTCTATTGCGTCTACTTGTCATTTCTGAAATCTGTTGAATTGACTTTCTATTTTATTATGTCTGCCAGATTTCCTGTTATTATGTCTCTATAGTTGTCATTTCTTGCAAAAAAAATTCTTTATTGAGTTGGAGTATCACATTTGTAGCCTGAGGTATCTTGGACTCTTTCAGGCAACATATCCACAATATATTATTTTTCTTGATCTCGAGGAAATTGGTCAAAAGGGTTTCTGCAAATGTGTAATCCTTTCTCTGGTGCCTTTGTACACTTTGTGGACTTCATAATTTTAAATCTGTCCTAGTATTTGGTTGCTCCAGCTTGTTCAACGGGACAGCATGTGCTTGGGTATGAGAGTTAATCATCATATTTTTCAAGTTGGGAATGTTGTGTGTCAGGCACGTGTTGGGAAGAGAATCCAAACACCTTCACTCATTCGATTTCCCCATTTCCTAATAGACAAATTGCTCCTCATACCGGTGCCAACAATTGTCCTTTCCTTTTTTCACCAGAACTGCTCAATGTCACCTGTAAAAGATTGTATTATCATTTATTTTGGTGACTGCGGTCTGTCCGAGTTTGTTATTCACAATTCATGTCATTGTTAGTGACATTTTCGATGTACCTTGAGAAACCTCATACCGATGCCAATAATTGTCCTTTCCCTTTTTTCACCAGCACTGCTTAATGTCGTGGTACACCTGTAAAAGTTTGTTTTATAATTTATTTTGGTTTACAATTTACCTAGTTCTTATGATTACTTTTTAGTGTGCTTGCAAGTTGTTTCGTTTTATTCTTCCTGTATTCAGCTTGTTGCACAAGTTCTTTTTTCTTTCTGCTGACTTCATTTAAAGGGCTGTGGGCATATTGTTCTGAGACTTCTTTCGAAATGTAGGGTGGTATGAGTCACACAACATCTACTTCGAGTCATTCTTCTCATCCAGCTAGCCGTGCATTTGGTGATGTTGTTGATCCTTCTGAGTCCCAATTTGCTCATCTCCATCATGAGTTGACATCTTTGGATGCAGTACATTCTCATGCAAAGATTCAAGGCACATCTGCACTCCAAAAAGTCAACACATCAGGCTCTCAATCTTCTGCTTCTGCTTTGGGTGCATCATTGTCACAAAGTACCAACCTTGACCCTCAGCTTGTAGCTAGAGTTCCTAGTCTTCGTTTTCCTTCTACTGGTGGAGGAAGGATAAGCTCACTAGACAAAAGAAACCTAGATGTCCCAAACACATCAGAGAACATTTTATCTAATATTGGGCAGTACACTGATCTGGTAACTGCATTTTCTGGCATGGGTTTGTCAGTGAATGCTACGGGAGATGAATGGAAGCATCAAAACACTCAAATTCATAATGAGATTGACTATCATCGGAACCTCTTTCATTTGCAGAAGGATCAAAATCCTATGAAACAGCACTCCTATTTAAACAAGTCTGAATCAGTTCAGTTTCATAAATCTGCATGTTCCTCTGCTGCTTCATACTTGATAGGGCCTTCTACCCCAACTCTCAGTAGTGGAGGAAGTTCACCATCGCACTATCCAACTGTTGATAGTCCTAATTCAATGTTGTCTCCATATGTTTTAGGAGGTTATGGTATGAACCCTTCATCACTGTCGATGTCGGAAAACCAACTTGGTGGTGGTAATTTTCCTTCATTATTTGAAAATATTGCTGCTGGGGCAGCAATGGGTGCCTGTAGAATTGACCCTAGAGCAATTGGAGGAGGCCTGAATTTGGGTCCTAATCTGTTGGCTGTCGCAGCTGAATTACAGAACATTAATAGACTTGGTAATCAGACCTTGGGTGGTTCAGTGCAATTGTGTCAGATGGATCCCATGCACCTTCAGTACTTGAGATCAGCCGAGTATCTTGCTGCTCAGCTATCAGCTGTCAATGACCCAACGGTTAACAGGGAATCTCTTGGCAATTCATACATGGATTTGCTTGAGATTCAGAAAGCATATATTGAGGCGCTGCTTGCGTCTCAAAAATCACAGTATGATTTTTCTCGTATTGGAAAATCTTGTGGCTTTAATAATGGTTACTATGGTAATCTAGGTCTTGGTGTTAATATGTCGTATCCTGGAAGTCCTTTGGCTAGTGCATCTCTTGAAAATTCTCCCTTTGGACCTGATAGTTATGTGAGGTATGGGGAAAGGTATGTACATTTTCCTTTAGGAATGAGGAACTTATCTGGTGTAATGGGAGCTTGGGATTCTGACCCTGGTTCTAACTTGGGAGAATGCTTTGCTTCTTCATTATTGGATGAGTTTAAGAGCAACAAAAGTAAGTGTTTTGAGTTGTCGGAGATAGAAGGCCATGTTGTGGAGTTCAGGTGAATTTAGTGTCTAATACTTCTTTCCTTCCATTTCATCTGGACTTATATAAGTTTATAAGTTGATTAAAAGGCTTCTGTTATCAGTGTGGACCAGTATGGAGGCAGGTTCATTCAACAAAAATTGGAGACTGCTACCACAGAGGAGAAGAACATGGTTTTCCGTGAAATTATGCCCCAAGCTCTCTCATTGATGACTGATGTGTTCGGTAATTATGTGATCCAAAAGGTGTGTTCGTGCAGATATGTTTTTTTTTTCACAATCATTTTGGATGTGCTTGTTAGCCTAAGTCAATATTTGGTGTATCTTGTCTTCACTTTGTGAGCAAAATGCTCTGATTCATAAGGAATCAGAAACATGATCTTCTTTGTTCTCTTTTTTTCTTTCTTTTTCACTTTTTCAGCTTTTTGAACATGGAAGTGCATCTCAGATTAGAGAACTAGCTGACCAGCTCAATGGGCATGTGCTAACACTTTCTCTTCAAATGTATGGTTGCCGAGTGGTTCAGAAGGTATTAATTGTGTTAGTAATTATATCTGTTCATAAATTGATTGCCATACCGTCTTTCATACTCTTTATAATCTGGATTTGTTACACTTTATAATTTACGATAATGTATGATATGTAGTGTCATTCAGGATGATTTTTATTGCCTGTTCCTTATGTGTCCTGTTAAGAGCCTGTTTGGCCACACTGCCAGAAACTGCTTATGTTTAGTAGCGTTTTTATCAGAATAACTTCAGAAAAGTACTTTTTGAGGGTAGCCGTTTGTGTTTGGCCAATTCATTGGAGAAGTGCTTTTTCTTTATTTGATAAGCAGATTGTGTTTGACCAATCTTTTCAAAGAGTGCTTTTGCTTGTCAAATTATGAAAAAGGGTAGTATCAAGGTTCATTTTACAATTAATATTATTTAAAATAGAAATAAATTAAAAATAATTTATTATTTCCAATCATTAGAAATAGACAAAAAATTATAGTAAGAATATATATAGTAAGAATTAAAATTTTACTTAAATTAATAAGGAATAGTTTGGTAAACAAAAATTTATAGTAAGATTATATATATATATATATATATACATATTTAAACCACACCCTAGGAGCTTCCACCCTTTTTTCTCCCATGGTGACTGGAACTCACAACCTTCGGGTTGGAAGTTAGGGGTGCTCACCATCTGAGCAACTCCCTTTTATCTTTAGTAAGAATATTTTTGTCTTGATTTTTTTTAATTTTTTGCTTCTACCTTCTCTTTTCAAAGAGGAGAGGAGAAATGGTAGAAAGATAAAGGAAAGGAGATCGCATTTATAGTTGAGAGACTATTCCAAAGAGGATGATGAGAAGGAGACGGGTAAGGAGTGGTAGAAACGAAAAATAAATAAATGGAAAAGGTTTAATTAATAAAGGATAGTTTGGTAATTATAAATTTATGGTACATATATTTTTGTCTTGTGAAATTAATTTTCTGCTTCTGCGTCTTTGCAAGTAGATAGAGTTTGTATCTTCATCCCATAAGTAAAATAAATTGTTTATGTTGTTGCTCAAGAGCACGTTTCTATTTTGGCCAGACACCTCAAGTCTCAAAAAAAGTTTTCTTTTTTGAACAAAAAAGGAGTGTTGTTAGCTTGAGAAAATGGCATATAATATTTTTATTTTTTAACCTATGTATTTATAGATTTTTATTATAGCTCATTAACATTAATATAAATAGAATAATCCTTTTATAAGTTTCTTGCAAAATCTAATATTGTTTTTTAATGATTATGATTTTAATATTACGTGCATTAAGTACATGTAAGCGTGTGTATGTATTATGTGCATGCATATTTAAATCTCGAGAAAATAGCCAAATGATCCCCCAACCTATTACAGGATCTCCAACTACACATCTATTCTCCGCGGGAGTCCTATTACCCCCCTGAACTATTTTAAAATGGAATAAATAATCCCTTAAGTGCTGGGCATAGAGAGTGTATTTCACTCTCTTTGAGAGAGTGAGTTGCCTATTTTTTTTAATTTCCGTTTTTTTTCTAATTTTCTTTTTTCTTTCTCTTTCTTTCTTCCTATTTATCTGTCTAACATTTTTCACCATTATCATTGTTGAAGCTTTTTCAATGAATGTTTGAAATAAAAATTATCAACAACAAATGCATTTAATGAATAAATAATTTTTTAATAAACTTATTTAGAACATATCTAACAAATTAAATTTATTTCTTTTAAAAAATATACCCATTAATGAGTTTTTTTTAAAGTGATGGATTCAAGAGTAACAAACTCAAAGTGAAGTAATTGTATATTTAAAAAATATTTTCAAACTTAATAAAAGAAACTAAAACAAAACAATTTCTTCCACATTTTAAAAGAAGGATCCTACATGTTCTCCTAAAAATCCATGAAGAATACAAAATAAAAAACTACCAATTATAAATTAATCATGAAAATTTTAGAGGGAGAAATAAATAAAGAAATGAGGAAGAGAGAGAGAGAGAGGTTTCTCAAATTGGTGTTACAAATTAGTCTTTTCATCCGCGATTATTTTGAGTTGCCGGCAGAATCTTCAAGGGGTGAATCTGATCTCGAATGTTCATGACCCATTTAATGTGTATCTGAAATTGTCTAAGGAAGAAAAATCGAACGAAATGTAAAAAAATGTTGGAAAATTATTGAATTAGTTGGATGAAAGATTTGATTAATTAGGACCGCTATCTTCTAGACTCTAGAGATTCGGAGTAGATGAAAAGGTGAGTTGAATTTTCGTTTCTATAAAATGTTAGAGATATAGAAATTTTATTGAGGTAAAAACTGGTGTTTAGTATAGTTAGGGTTGAAGAAATGATTGGGGAAGAAAGAAAGAGGAAGGAGGAGAGCTTTTTAAAAAAAATAATCATTAAATGGTGAAATACACGTGTCAAGTGCGTGTATTTCACCACAAGACAGATGCCTGGTAATGACATTTCAGGGAGGAAATAATTCCACTTTAAAATAGCTCGGGGGGGGGGGGTTAATAGGGCCCCCGTGAAGTATAAGTGTGTAGTTCGAAATCCGGTTATAGATTTGGGGGGTCATTTGGCCATTTTCTCTTGTTAGCTTCCCAAAAACTTGGAAAACAGGCTACTAGTCTTGTTTTCTGCTGGCGTATGTATGGCAATTTAGCAAGTAACGTTAGTTGAGAAGTTGAATCACAAACTGATGTTAAAATAGGCCTTCCTTTGGAAACTCCAGTCATTCAACAAATGAAAGGCGTTGCTGTGTTGTTTCAATTTCACATCACTGGTTTCTGATGTTCTTCTAGTGTTCTTGTCTTTTCCCTTCTCTGCATATTTCCTTCCCTTCTTATTTATTTTTAAAAATGTAGTATTTTTTCCATGGAAACAGGCTAGAGGATCACCATAGCTATTACTGGGGAAATAGTTAATTCGTTTTGAAGAGAATTATGTTGCAAAATTGGCTACGTATTGCTAGAGCTGTGGAAAAAGTTAATACCCTTGCAACTTGGCTATTATCCTATCACATAAAGTGGAATCTCATTTCTTCATAAGCTAAATTACTGGGGCTATCTTATTCCTATGGCAGATTGTCTCCCTGGAAGCCATATTAGTTGCTTCTTGTCCTTGTTAAAAATGGACATACTATGTGATTAGGAGCTAAACATCCAAAATTTTGCCTTGTTTACTATGATCGGACTGTTATGACATAACAACTTCCTTTCTCAAATATTATGCAAAGTTCTTGTCTTAGTATGTCAAAATTCACTCTCCCAAGTAAATGGGAACCATCTGAGCTTATTTATGTATTTAGACAAGGCATACCCTTTGTAAGGTTGGAAAGTTGATACCATCTTGGTCTAATATGAAAGGAATGATTTTAAATTATGATATGAAAGTGATCATTATAAAATAAATAAATTATTATATGGAAATGTTGCGTAAATTTGACTTTTAGGGTTCACTGGTATCCAAGGCTTTTCGATGGAGTGGCCTTGTTTCCTGTCTCTAATTGCATTGCTATAGAACTGTAGATTCTGTATCATGAATATATTGATTGGGCTTAGGTCTGAATAATACCTAGTGTCTCAACTAATGGAAATTGGCAAATTTATAATCCAATATATACATTTTCTATGCATCATACTGTTGTAAGGATTTCTTCTATGACACATCACTGTGAAATATCTGACGTTCTCTCTGTTCTTATGCCTTCTTGAATATTTCAGGCAGTAGAGGTTGTTGATCTGGATCAGCAAACCAAAATGGTCACAGAGCTTGATGGTCATGCTATGCGTTGCGTTAGAGATCAAAATGGGAATCATGTTATCCAGAAGTGTATTGAATGCATTCCAGAGGATGCCATCCAGTTTGTCGTTTCCACATTTTATGATCAAGTTGCGACATTGTCCACCCATCCATATGGATGTCGGGTCATACAGGTCAGACTGAATTGCCTGTAAATTTTTTGTTTTTCTTTGGTATTTAGTGTCTGGGGGATGATCTTTACTTCTGATTTACTTTCTCATGACAGAGAGTCTTGGAACATTGCCATAATCCTGAAACACAGAACATTGTGATGAAGAAGATTTTGCAATCTATTTGCATGCTGGCACAAGATCAATATGGCAATTATGTCGTTCAGGTCTGCTGCATATCTCAACCTCCATAGCTAATTACCAATGGGATGTTTCAAGAGAATGATAATTTACCTGAATATGTGCACTAATCTATTAAAACTTAAAACCATCATCTTCTTTTCCATACTGGTTTCTCTTTTCTTTTTTGAAAAAGATTGGTACATGAACTTTTGGTGTTTAATTTTTTCATTTGTTAGATAGTGCATGGTGGAGAAGGCCTTCTCTGACATACCACCATTCTTTATATTTAAGGACTTTTCATTTGTCTCTCAATGGGACAGATAAATGAAAATTGATGTTAACATTTATTTAAATTCCCATGTGGATTGGCGTACAATTTTTATTCATAAATTTGATGCATTTCTCATTCTTAGCAAATCTTCATGCATTCTCATGTCTCAATGTTGTACAGTTGATAAGAATCAGGCTGAGGTCCTCAGCTCTCCCTATTTTGGGGGTTGGGTAGAGGAATTTATTCTCTTATAGTGTCTTAGCTTAGATGTTTGACTACTCCTGTAGTACTGATTTGTTTTGTAATAGCACGTCTTGGAACATGGAAAGCCAGAGGAGCGCACTTCTATAATTAATAAGCTGATGGGGCAGATAGTTCAGATGAGCCAGCAGAAATTTGCCTCAAATGTTGTGGAGAAGTGTTTAACCTTTGGAACTCGTGAAGAACGCCAGACATTGGTAGATGAGATGCTTGGCTCTGACGATGAAAATGGTCTTCTTCAGGTCTGTTAGTTTTCAGATTCTTCCTTCACTAGTGGTATGCACGTGTTTACTTAGAGTTCTCTGTACTTTTGGCTGTCTAATATAAACATGATCTACTCAGATATAATTTCTCTTTTTAGGTGGCCTGATCTCTAGTGTAGATGATTTTCTGTGAACAAATGCTTCTTGTCACAAGCATTTGTCCTTAACTAGTGAAATCGGGTAAATGCGCAGCTTGGGCTTTTCCTATGGGTTGGGTTGGGTTGTGATGAGCACAAACACTATGTGGTCGTTTGGTTGGAAACAAGTTATCCCAGGATAAATTATCCTGGGGTTAGCTATCCTGGGATAACTTGTCCCACCATGTATATGGGATAACTTATCCCATCACTATGATATAAATGGTGGGATAAGTTATCCCAAACATGACAACCAAACAAGATAGTTTTTTTTTTATCCCATCACTATTTCCTTATCCCATCACTATTATTTTTTAATCCCTCACACAACGAGCCCTATAAGTTTAGCACTAAGTATAGTATAAAGATCGTCTCCACATGGATTGGTGCAAATAATAATTCAACCAAATCTTGCTAACTATTATTCAGGTGATCAAAAGAAGAGAGTTGGTTGTGGTTATGAACCACATTTATAGACTAAATGACAATTTAAAACAATTGGTTGGGTAAAAGACGAAATAAGTGCATAATGATAGTCGTGATTTGACCATGTTCATTGATCACATCTAAAGTTCTATCGATTCTCTCGAATTCGATAGTTGATTAGAGTATCATTAAGATTTAGATTTCTCTTCCGAGTAAATCTCAAATTAAAGAAATAAACTAATTATAACACAGTGATCCTAATATGTAAGAACATGTTATGGATTATTCTTAAGGAAGTAATTTCTTTCGATTGTTTTTCCTTGAGATTCAATCAACAATCATCAACAAGCTCTTTTAATTACTTTAGAGAAGATATATTGATTCAAACCCACACAAGATTATGCAATAATATTCATAAGATATTCCTCTTTCGATTAAATAAGATAAGGGAAAAAGGTCAAATATACCCCCGAACTTTCGAAAATGGTATGTATATATCCTTCGTTATACTTTTGGGCCATACATACCCTTACCGTCATAATTTTGGATCATATATACCCTTTGATCAAACGGAAAAACACGTGGTATGATCTCAAATATTTGCCCTATTTTATTTTATTTTATATCCAAAATTTAATCTCTCTTCTCTTTCTCTCTCCAAGTTCATATTCTGTTTTTTCCTCTCTCACCGGCGGCACCAGAAATGTCGCTGTATCGCCGGAAAATTCTCTCAATCTTCGACACATTTCACATTTTTATATATAATTTTAATTGATCTCTCATCCATAAGGAAAGAAAATTAAATAATCAGTTAGGGCTCGTATCTGTTTCTTAGCCAAAGATCGAACTTTTGGTTGATTTGTTTTCCTAATGTGGTTGAGATTTAGGGTTTATGGTGTATTTCGGAAAACACTTTCTAGAAGATCTAATTGCTTAAGTTTTTTTGATTACATTTGTGAAGGATAAAATTCCGTTCTCTGTTCTCTTGGTGCTTAGATTTGAGTAGTTTGATCTGCTCACTTTTTTTGTTTTTGAATTGTGAGTGTTGAATTTTTCTCAAACATATTTTGGTCTACAAAGCTTGAAATTGCAGATCTGCAGAGCTTGAAATTGCAGACCTTCACCATTGATCTGAGATTTATGGGAGGGGGAGTGATGGAAATCTAGAGACCTTGAAAATAAATCGGTGTTGAATTATTGACATCAAAATTTGAGAAGGATCTTGCCAATAGTGATTAATTGGAAATGGGTGTTGGATCGGTGTTGAAATTAGATGTGTATTGATAATGGAGATCAAAGAAATCAGCCAAGTGAATGAATGGATTTTAAAATAAAAAAAAAATTGGATAAAAAAAATTAAATTTTGGATTAAAAAAGTTAAATTCTGGATAAAAAATAAAATAAAATAGGGCAAATATTTGAGATCATGCCACGTGTTTTTCCGTTTAATCAAAGGGTATATATGATCCAAAATTATGATAGTGAGGGTATGTATGACCCAAAAGTATAACGGAGGATATATATGTACTATTTTTGAAAGTTCGGGGGGTATATTTGACCTTTTTCCCATAAGATAATGAACATAGTTGCAATTTAATTAAAACTCCCATAATAAGTTCAAAGATAAGAACGAAAATCAAAATCCCAACATACTAATCAATACAACAAGTCAACATGTTTGTCAAATACCCTCTAAGAATCTACTCCATGGAGGAGAATGAGTTTACTAAGAACAAAGATGTAATAGAAGACATAGCAACCAAACTCTAAGGGTGTGTTTGGTATGAAGGAAAATGTTTTCCTGGAAAACAAGTTGATTTTTGACTTATTTTCTCATGTTTGGTTGGTGAGTAGAAAATATTTTTCGGAAAAGATTTTTTAGTGTTTGACTTATTGAATGAAAATAATTTTTGTAGAAATATCTTTTATTTTAACTAGAGTAGAAAATAATTTTAAAAAATAAACTTAATTTTTTTTTGGGAGGTGGGGT